AGGCAGCCCCAGTTTCCATGTGACCAGAAAATCAGAAAATCAGTAAATAAAAAATAACAACAAATCGGCGCAGTCACGTCGTCGTCACCGTTTGCCATCTATCTACGCGTTCCCAATCCGTAAGATACTTCACCACGCACGTACAGTTAGGGAGAAGTCGCACTCAGGGCGTGGCTTCAAATGCAGGCAGAAATCCGTTTTGGGAAAACTAATATTGGTCTATCTTCAAATTATGTTTACTAAGAAAGAGCTAAGTAACTTTTGGGAAGCCGAAGTTTCGTATACACTTACAGGGGAGCGAAGTTTGAAATTGATCATAAAGTAAATCGATCATTAAATGCATTTACTATATTTCAATTTGAGAGAGTTGTTCTGATAGTTTTTATAAGGTTATCGTTAATCTTAATTGAAAAAAATTAATACAATTTTTATTTTTATTATTTATTTATTCTCTATAAAATTTAAATATAACTAGTTTCAGAATTGAGCAATTGAAAACGAGTACTATTCAGGGTTGAATTTACAATTTTTATACCTTTCCAGGGTATTTTAATTTCAGTCAAAAGCTTGAAACGCAGTGAAGGAATCATTTCCGACCCTATAAATCATATATATTCTTGATCAGCATCAACAGCCGAATCGATCTAAACATCTCAAAAAGAAAAAATTTTTTTTTTAATTTTTTCAAAATTTTATAAGGGCTTACATCGTTAAAATTGTAAAAAAAAATCGGAATTTTTAAAATGTTTTAAAACTTTAAATTGAGTAAGTAGATTTGTTAACCTTATAAAAACTAACATTGGACAGTTTTCCGAATTAAAATTAAGGCATTTTTGGCCTAGTTATGAGTTTTTTAAACTCTGATTTGTCCTAAAAATTGTTCTATTAAAATATAAATAAATATTTAATTTACAGAATTAAGGCATTATTTTTCAATTCAAAATTTTTCAGATTTAGGCAGCTAATCATATAAATGTATAATCTTTGTTTGCTTGTTTTATTTTATAAAATAAAATATTATAATTATTAAATATTAGTTAGCATAAATATTTTACATTATTTTAAATATAAATACAAAAATATGTATAATTTAAAATGTATAATTTAATTTAGCTAAAAAACAACAAAAATGCATTGAAAATAAGGCAAAATAAGGAATTTCATAGTCAGAAAACAAAAGACTTAAGACACGAACTTGGTCGATTTTTTCTTTGCAGCCTTTCAAAGCCGTCAAAATACTGTTTTGAAAAATTCAGGATTTTATTACTTATTAAATTTAATATTAATATATGTATTATTAAAATATTTTTTTATATGAAATAGACGAAAAATTGTGAAACAATTGCATTGGAGAGAGAGAGAGTGCAATCACAACAAAGTTGCAAATTCCTTGAAGGGGTCAAAGCTTTTTCACGTTTATCTTTTGTGCTTTGCCTCTTTCTCCCTCTCCTTTCTCCCTCTCTCTCTCTCTGTTCGGTCTTCACCTTTTTATCCTACTTCTCCCTCACCTCCTCCGCGTTTTATTGTCCATTTGCAGCTTTCCCCCAGTTCGTTCGGCAAACGTTCCGTTATTAATTCAATTCGTCACGATTGAGTGGCAGCTGCTGCGACTGAGAAAACTGAGAAAACTGAGAAAATACAGAGTCTGCGGCGGCTGCTTGAAGGGAAATTAGTGAAAAGCTGTCACAGCTGCCGTTCCGTTCCGTTCCAAACCGTTCATTCCCGCACGTGTCTCAAACACAATGGCGCACTGTGAAATGTAATATTTGAACAGAGCTCCGGTGTTCCTAACTCAACGAACTCGACTTGCTGCCGGGGGAATGGTCTGAAATTTGACCAGAAGATTTCCACTGACTTGGCTATTACGCATATGTTGAAATGGTAATGATCGCATAAGCCTAACACTGCTAACTTGGCTTGTCATTCGGCTAACTTGGTGAAATTTGACCCGCGGGTGTCTTGTGATTCAAGCCAATGGTGGGGGTCTTCTTACTTACAGATTAACTTACTATAACTATATAACTATAGCTATAATACTTGTAATTGATAACATTGCATCAATTTCCTTACGATACCTTTATTCAGGACCGGTTTCTAGCCTTAGTGTTAAAATAATGTGCAAAAGTGATAAAGAAAATGCTATAAAATGTTATTTTGGTAGCTAATATTAACCTCTCTCTAAAAATAAAATATTATTTAATATATATATATATATTTTTATATCGTAATGTAAACAGTAAAAGTATTACTACAGTTTAAAGTTCGGTTTAGCGCCTAACAGCACTCTGTTAGTTCGATTCGAAGTTTATGTTATATGTTATATGTTACATATCTTTTACAGGCATTTAGCACTCTGTTAATTTAACAGTTACCATAAAATTCATTCCTTATTCATTTCTTATTCATTCCTTTTTCTTACTAAAACATAAAGTTTTAAGTTATTTTTTTTTACTATTTTTTCGTAACTGTAATTAAAGTCACAAAAATCGCATTATATCAAGGCTCTCCTTGTGCCATTTTATGCGGCCTTTTGTTACGAATGCCAATTTTGAAAATTGTTCTGTGGAAACTTTTACCCACCGAATGCCGTCTTTTGTTTAAAATGCATTTTGCATTCACAGCCTGATGGGGATCATAATTGTGCTAATAATATCATGCTAACCCCCATCTACAGATGGTGAAATGAACCACGTTTCGTTGTCGTTTTCGCTTTTCTTTCTCACACGGCGACTAATTAGGCAAATTCAGGGGGTCGCAACTGGGAGTTGCAAGATGCCGATGGTGTCTTTAAAACATGTTTGCCTCAACATGTTTCCGAAACGTGTTTGGCGGTGGCAGCGGGGCAACAACAATATAAATAGCAGAAGCAGAAGCAGCAACAAAAACACTTTCATTGCCCCAGCTGCATTTTACCTTGGCTTCAAAAAAATACAAAAAATATATATACAAAATTTCGACTGCAATTGGCACGAAAAAATTCGCTTTCGCTTTGTGCAAGCAAAAAAAAAGCAGACAAAAAGCAGAAAAAATACACCAAACGATTCAAAAATGCGAGGCTTCTGCTTTTTTCTTCGAATGACACTTGTCGCTTGTGGAAAAATGGCAATGAAAATGGAGATGGGAAAACGAGTTTGTGGCCTCAGTCTTTTGAACTCTGTATCGAAATATCGAAAGCCTACCATAGACAGGAACAGCTGACCTTATGGCCAACGAAACGAAGAAAGTTGCAACAAGATTTTACGTTGACCCATTTTTTTCTCAGCTTGTTTTTTTTTGTTGAATATTTCTCTTTTGAAAATGAAAGTGGCATGCGGCAATATGCCGTTGCCCTTTATATCACCACATGATTTTATTGATTTCGATTGCTTAGAAATCGATTTAACAGAAAGTTTACTAGAAAGTAAATAAAAGGCAGAGAATTCTTTAAATTACTTTATTTAATATTATATATATAAATGTATATTTAAAGATATATTAAATACAATATTACATTAACAATTGTATTCTTTAAGGTTGAATTTTAAATATAAAACTAGTAAATCAAGACTTGATCTGGGCTTTGTATTATTTTTACTTCCACAATCATTAATTATAATATATCATTAAAAATATGTACATACTAGCCCCAATTTCGAATCCAAAATGAAAAAAATAAGCTCAACAAAGTCACAACCCCTCCAAAAAGTAATCAAAAGAAATATGTAAATATGCTAAGCGAATGAGAAATGAAATAAATAAACAATAACCATCGAGGAAACTTTCTTTTCGAAGAGTTTTTGTCTGCTCACTTGACATTGGACTCTTTGCATTATTGTTTTTTTGTTTTTTGTTTTTGCTTTTTGTCGAGTCAAACTGGAGCAAGTTTTTCTCATTTATTGTTGGTGTAAATGTTGTATTTTTTTGACCAGAGGGCGATGAACGCCGAGGTGCGCTAAATTCGTAGTCGCACAATTAGCACCTGCTCGGTTGGTTAGTTGCTCGCTTTTGGCCATGTCCAGCGCATGTCGTCTCCATTACCAAATTTGTAATAATATTTGGGCTATTGTTTGCAGTCCATGTGATGGCGGTACAGTGAATGCTCAGCGAAAAGGGAAAGCCTTACTAAAACGATATTAATTTCGAATAAAATATTTAAAAGTTATCGGGGCTTGTGTAAAGAAATGTAATAATTATTAAAATTACAGTGTTTTAATGAAGTGAAAGATTAATATTTAATTAGGACAGTACTTACACCGATAGAAAAATTGATAATTATATATTTACAAAAAATATTGTATTAATATTATATCAAAAGAAGAAAGCAAACTTAATTCGAGAAACCAAAGTTTATTTACCCTTGAAGTTCACAAACAAATTATAGGCTTTAATCGAAAATTAATCATATCTAAGATTAAAATATTCACATTCTTTAAATTGATATTTATCAATATTTTATATGCACATTTTTTCGACAAATTAAAGTTTAAAAATTTCATAACTAAGCCAAAATTTATGAATTTCAATTCAGATTGCTTTTCTGTGCTAGTTTTGATAAGGTTAATAAATCTGTATACTCAATTTAAGATTTAATAAAATTCAAATTTTTGTCCAATTTTTTCACAATTTTAACGATGTAACCCCTTATAAAATTTTGAAAAAATTTGAACATTTTATTTTTTCACCGGACATGGCCAGATCGACTCTGCTGTTGATGCTGAGCAAGAATATATATGATTTATAGGGTCGGAAATGATTCCTTCACCTCGTAACAAGCCTCTGATTGAAATTAGAATACCCTGGAAGGGTATAAAAATACTAAGAATATAATTACATTTATTTCGGTTACTTTGTTTAATATATGCAGAATATACATATATATAAATCAGAAAGTGTATACAAACTTGGCTTTTCTAACCAAAATATCTAGTATCCTTCATTTGAACTTGAACTAAATTCCTATGAATTACTATAATGCTCCAAAATTATATTATTTTAATTTTCCTTCCTTTTTTACTTTGCAGATGAAAAAAACACGCGACTCAGATAAATCATCCGCCCCGTTGGCTGTCACAAATTTAAATGCTAATTCGAACCCGCACTCCAATTTAAATTCGAGTTCGAATTCGAACGGGATCGCTGCCAATATGGCGGCGGCCGATAAAAAGAACAACAACAGCAACTGCAGCAATCGCAACAAAGACAAGAGCATGCAAACAAACGGCGGCGGCGGCGGCGGGAAAAACTGGAAGGTAAGCGTAATTAAAACCGCCAGATGAGCGGTAATTGGGGAAAAGCCAAAAGAAAAGTGGTGAGAGCGGGAGGGGAAATGCGAAATGCGAGTTGTGTGTGTGTGATGCAACTGAGAAAATCTCGTTGCACGTGCGAATGAAAGCAGAAGAAAAAAATGAGGCTCAGAGAAGAGAAGAGAAGAGAAGAGAAGATCTGTTATGCGGCCGACTGACTTTTGACTTGTCTTCTGTCACTTTCTGACTTGCATTAAGTCTTCGTGCCAAGACAGAGACAGGGAGAGGTACGCACTCTCTTAACCCCTTGAACCCCAAAGAGGCCTTACAGTTGATATAAAAAATATGTGGAATTTAATTTAGTATATAATTCGGTTAGAAAATGTTTATTAAATAATTTATTTATTTTTATGTATTTTATTTCAAGTTATTTTATTTCAATTTAATAATTCGTGTGGATTTTTTGATTTAATACAAATTTAAGACTTTATAATTTACATAAAGACTGATTTTAATTCCAATTCCCATCGGTTTCTTTAAACAGCCAAAATATTGATACATTTTTTACTTTTATCTTACAAACAAGAAAAAAATAAAATAATATATACATATTTATTAGATTTTCGTTAAAAGTACTTAAAAATAAACAAAGTTCAGATAATTTTCTAAAATAGCTTTTTAAACCTAAAGTTTTATCTTATATCTAAATATTTTACACCTGAAACCTTTGAATTTGAAACTATTTAAATAATTTTTAAATATTTCCAACCAAATATAAATAAATAAAATATAAAATATACATTATAAAGATATTATATCTTTGTTCTGAATAAATAAATGTGCTCACATTTTTTATTTTTTAATTATAAAATCTTTGTTAGACTATTGTTTATGATTTTGTCCAGTTCAGGTTTTATTTTAATGCACAATCTTTGCTGTGTTCAACAAATTAACATTAACAAATGCGGAAATGCGGTGTTGCGTTGACCACTGCGAGGCAAGGCGATGCGTTGCTTGATTATGAAACAAAAAAAGCCATTTGTGTTTAATTACTCGTCTCTGGACTACATTGTATTATTGTTATTGTTATGTCTTCTGCGGCAGCATCACTCCACTTCACATCACATGGCATCACGCAGTCGATGAGGAAAACCAAAACTGGGCCGTGTGCTGACCCGTTTTGTTAGTGCTTCAGGAAAACCAGTGAAGAAAAAAAGAAATAATGAAAACAGAAAAGTAGTTTATTCACTTAACTTGCGCTTTAAGCGTCTGCGTTCTGTTTTTTTCTTTCTTTCGTTTAATTTTCTATGCTTTTGCAACTTCAACATCAGAAAAGTTGATGCCAATTCCCCCGCTATGTTACGTGCTAGTTAAGCGCAATTTAAATAAAATCAATTAAAAACAAGAAAGGAAGCTAACTTCGGCACGCCGAAAATTGTATACCCTTGCAGATCGATCACTTGGAATTTATACAATATAAATTATATATATTTATGCTTTAATTCACCGTTTTGCATTTTCTTCTATTTTTAACGATTGTTTGTATGGCAACTCTATGATATAGTAGACCGATTTTCATAAAATTCTACACAAAATTCTAAATTAACATACAATGGCTATATTTTAAATTTGATAAAAATCGGTTGAAAACTGATAAAGTTATAAAGTTTTCTTAAAATTTCCGATCGTTCCTATAGCAGCTATATATATATATGTATATATATATATATAGTCCACCGTTTCGGCATGCTCCGATTTATATACCAGTAAAATTATATAGAAGAATAACTCAATAGTTTCATTAAAATAGCTTAAATTTGTTCCAAAACAAATCTCGCACATCTGTGCTTATGATTCCCAACTTGTTCTAACATCCCCGTAACGAAGTGACTTCTTCTGGCCTGGTCTCAGATATGTGTTGTGTTACAAAAGTTGCAAGTCATTGTTTATTAGTGTTCAAAGTTAATCACTGATCATACATATTTAGTGATCATAGATATTTACTGTTCAGAGTTACTTACTGGTCATAGATAATTGCTGATCATAGTTAATTACTGATCACAGATACTTACTGTTCAGAGTTACTTACTGCTCATAGTTAATAACTGGTCATAGATACTTACCGATCATAACTGTTCAGAGTTACTTACTGGTTAGAGATATTTACTGATCATAGTTAATTACTGATCATAGATACTTCCTTCTTCATTGATACTTACTGATCATAGTTAATTACTGATCATTGTTATCTATAAATCAAAGTTCCTTAATGTTCATTGATACATACGATTTGCACATTTGTTTACCTGGATTTATCCATGTTGATAACTTTATTATGCACATATATTATTTATCACAACATATCTCTGCGGTCTTAAGACCTATGCACATCTACTTGATTTTGTGATTACATTATTAAAGCCGAATTATTAAAAGCAGACTTGCAATATTCAAAACCAGAAAATGGGAAATTTTCAAGTGCAACCACTTTGTATTTTCAGCTTTTGGTTTTTCCTCGTGTGTTTTGAATTTTTTCAAGTTTTTAAGCTGTTTCGTTCCGTGATTTGATTTAACGGCATGATTTGGCTAAAAACAAAAATCAAAAAAGCATTTAAGGCGCTTTGCCGGTCGCTGACCTTCCTTAATTATAAATATTGAGGCTCCAAAAAATGTGAATGTTTGTTTTTTTTTTTTGTCTGTATGCTTTCCTACTTACCTTTCTTGTCATTCGCAGGGCATTGTCCAGACTAATCCCAGTGGAGGTGGAGGTGGAGGCAGTGGAGCTATGGGTGTGGGCACCACATCCCAACCGCCCAAGGTGTTCCACAACACCAGATGCACACGTCACCACAAACCGCATCACAATCATGGCAACGGAACGCCGCTTTCTTCCGCCGCCACCAATGGAGGAGCAACTGAAGCACTGGACACCGCGCAGCTAAGAGATCGGGATAGGGAAAGGGACAGGGACCGGGATCGAGAGAGGGAAAGGGAGAGGGATCGAGAGCGAGAGAGGGAAAGGGAACGAGAACGGGAGAGGGAACGGGAACACCACCTACACATACACAGTCACAACCATGGTTTGAGGAGAAAGTCGGAATCGGTTCTATCCACCGATTCGGATATCCGTTTCACCCGCCGAAAGCTGGGCGATGGCCAGAAATGTGGTTGCGCCGTAATTGCTGGATTCCTTATTGCCCTTTTGGTGGCCGGAGCCTTTGTCTATGTGGGATGTAAGTCCACTCTCCTTACTCTCTCCGAACTATTAAGTGTTTTCTCACATGCCAACTCATCATCATTATTATATAGATACTTACTTCCGACCGGAACCGTTGCCGGATCGCGTTTTTCGTGGACGCTTTATGGTGCTGAACGACAAGTGGAGCATGGAGCTGGCCAACCAGAATTCGCAGAGATTTCAACAAAAGTCCAGGGATTACCGGGAGCGAATCAATCTCACACTGAGGCGTTCCGATCTGAGGGAAGCCTACGAAGGTAGCGAGATATTGGCCCTAGATGGGTGAGTATTAGATAGAGATTAGAGATATTATATATAGTAATTATAATATTTGATAACAATTCCAGCAGCGAGGATAATAACAACATAATTGTGCACTTTAATATGATCTTTGATCCCTATGCCGGCCTGGTTAGCAGCGGTGATCTTTTGGCTTTGTTCCATGAGGAGATGAGCCAACCGGCCCAGCAGCGTCGTCATTTTGCCAATATGACAGTGGATGTGGCCAGTTTAACCATTAAGGAGACAACGGGTCTCATTGAGGAGCCAGTTATGTCCAGTTCACCGCTGGGGGGACATGATGAGGCCACTGAACCGGTGGTGACCACCACACCGGCTCCACCGCGTCGCTGCTCCCAGCTGGAGTTAAGCTATTGCCACCAAGTGGGTTATAATATAACCACATATCCGAATCTCTTGGGTCATGCCAGCTATGAACAGTTGGCGGAGGATGTCATAGTCTTCCGGGAACTGGTGGATGGTGAATGTCATCGGGAGGCCTATGATTTTGTGTGTCGGTTACTCCAGCCACCCTGCGATACCCATGGCTCCAATTTACAGCCCACTCCTGGACAGATATGCCGTGAGTACTGCGAGTCCTTTATGGCTGGGTGTGGGAGTAGGTTACCCCAGCGATTCCGTCACTATTTCGACTGTGAACGTTTCCCGGAGTCCACGGGCACCCAGTCGTGTCACCAGAAGCCCCATTGCGTCAGTGATATGCAGACCAATGTCCAGAGTCCAAGGCTCTGTGATGGCTATGCCGATTGTCCGGATTTATCCGATGAGAGGAGCTGCGCCTTTTGCTCACCCAATGCCCTGTATTGTGGCCGAGGAAGGGCATGTGTGCCACGGAAGGCTAGATGCGATGGCAAGGCAGATTGTCCTGATGGAGCTGATGAAAAGGATTGTCGTAAGTTCTAGTATAATACCCACTTTAATAGATTAATAATTCATTTCAATATATTTCCTTGCAGTTTCCATTGCTCCCTTGGCCTCTGATCTGTTCCAGCCGGAACCCTTGGTTCCCTATCTGTCCAGATTCCATTCCGCCGGCTATGCGGTCTTCTCCGAAAAGGGTGTGGTGGGCAAACTGTGTGCCGAGGGACTTGAGGGTGATGCCAAGCTGGTGGTCCGCCAAACCGTGTCCGAATCCCTGTGCAAGTCACTGGGTTACGAGTAAGGAGAACACTCAACCTAATCCCCTCCCGATCACTCTTAAAATGCTATTCTAATATCTCCTACAGATCCGTGGAAATATTTGATGTGCAGAATGACACAGAGCTGCTGTCCGACTATGTCCGCGTCCTGGATCCCCATGCTCCGGAGATTAGCTTCATAAGGACCCATTGTCCGCGACGCCAAGTGCTCTATGTGGGTTGTGGCGAACTGAGATGTGGTGTCCAGTCGGCGCTCTTTAATGCCAAGCAGCATTTGTCCCTGCCAAAGATGTCCGCTCCCGGGGATTGGCCCTGGCTGGTGGCCCTCTTCCGTGAGGATATACATGTGTGCGATGGTACACTAATCTCTCAGGATTGGGTCCTCACCACCGAGGGCTGTTTCCAGGGACAGCCGCGTGCCACCTGGATGGCCATTGTGGGCGCTGTGCGGTTATCCGCGAAGGCTCCATGGACACAAAGGCGACGGATCATTGGCATGATCAAGAGTCCGGTGGAGGGCAGTACCGCGGCCTTGGTGCGCCTGGAAACGGCGGTCAGCTACTCGGATCATGTGCGTCCCATTTGCTTGCCGGATGCACTGCAGCGCCGTTTGCTTCAACAGCCGCCGGCTCAGAGGAGATCGCATGCTCCGGTGGCCGAGAGATTGGAGGGGCAACTGGTACCCAGGAGTCCACTGGCTCAGGAGAATCAACAGTTCTTCTTGATACCATCCAAGGAGCAGATGGAAAGCTCTACGGATGGTAGCCTAGCAGAGGATGACCAGCAGGCGGATCACTTTGGAGCCGAAGCAGCTGCCTCATATATGCCCAAGGCTGAGGCTCTGCATCGCGAACTGGAGGCCTATCCCCTGCCGGATCATGCCCCGCAGGTGAATTACTATGGTGGATCGGGATCCACATCATCCTCGGCCTCGGCCTCGGCCTCTCCCCGGACAGCAACAAAACCACCAGCTTCCGTTTCCCAATCCGCAATCCCAGTTGCTCCAGAGCAAATCTGGACAAACTGCAATACCCTGGGCTGGTCCCGGCAGCGAGATCATTTGCAGCGTGTCCAGCTCAAGATTGGGGATATGGCTCCATGCGAGAATGTGTCCATCGCCACCGTCAACTCCATGTGCATGGAGGCCACCTATCAGAAATATGATTGCACGGTGAGTTTTATTAATGATAAAATATAATTTCAAATATAATATTATACTATATACCATCTATAGTATATTATATATTAGAAGGTGAAAGGATTTTTTTTAAATTCTACTTCAAAATTTAAATTCTTCCTGATATCGTTAGTTCCTATAGAAACTTTAGGATTTAGTGGTCTTTCCTTATATATTTCTTAAAATTAGACTGAAAAAACCCATTAGGGGTAATCTTTAAAAGACTCTCTGTCCAATTAATTACTCTGATCTGCTTATATCCACTTAGAATATTATAAAAATTTAAAACAAAAAATACAAAATTTAAAGTGAAACCAGCCAAGTACAAAATCAAGGTTCGAAACCCGACTAACCATGGAATCGAGATAATATATAATTTCCCTCCTAGTTTTATAGGATGTCCTTTTATTATTTATTTTTTAAATTCTCTAAATCTTCTTTAAATCATTTTTTCTAAAGTTTATAACCTGTTCTAGGTATTTATTTTAAACAAAAAAGGCTTCATAAAGAGATTTTATTAAACTCAACTGTTTATTCAGTATTACAAATATTTTATAGATCTAAAAACTTATAAATTATTAAAAAAAAAACAATCCGTAAGATTAGTTTATTTATCGAGATTATCAAAAAGGAATAGCTAAAACAATTTGGAATTAATGCTTTGAAAATAAATATTTGTTTGAAATATTTATAATAGATAGTTGGATTTAAAAGAGATAATTATGTAGAATATTAAAAAGGAAAAAAAATATATTAAAGATGATGAATATTGAGTATTATAAGGTAAAGCAAAATATGGAAGATAAAGATATTTAGAAATTATATAGATTATGAATGAATAGCGAAAAGAAAAAGTATACAAATTTGAAATATGAAGAAGATAAAAAGTTGATAGAAAGTTGAAGAAAGAGTAAAAATTAAATTGTAAAATTATTATAAACTTTCAGCAGATAGGATAGGAACTGAATGAGTAATCTCCAGGTAAATTAGGACTGATACTTTCGCTTATTGTCTTAAAATACTAAAAGATATTAAATTAATAATTTTTTGGACGTTGATTTGGTTCTAAATCTAATGTTAAATCTAAGGAACAGCGGTTCAACCTTTGAGCTTACGTTACGGTCTATATATCGTATACGGATTATAGTTATATATTTACAAATACTTTAATGCGCCTCAAATGCGTATGGGTCTCATTATGGGAACGGAATGATGAGCCCCTGATGTGGATGCAGTCCTCCTGGACTTGGGGCACACATCCAGGCGAAGGCGCTTCACCTGCGGTTCCTGAGTTTGGGCCAGCTCCTCCGCTCCTTCTGGCTGCGGCCTGGGTTTAGGTTGCTGCTGCTGGCGATGTTGCTTCTGCTCCCTTAGGAAGCCGTTCTGGCGACGCACAGGAGCTGCTCCATTGCCGGGCAATGATCCCAGGAAACAGTTCTGACGATACACTGCAACCGGTTTGTAGTCCTGCACTTGGACTTGCTCCTCATTTGGTTTCTCCCTCTCCATGGGCACCTTTTGGCCATCATCCACACGTTCCACGGGACGCTTACGTTTCTGGGACCGGATCTGGCTGATCCCTCTCCGCAGCTGCTGCCAGTCGAGTCTCAGGTGGAAGGTGATCTCCGGGGTGGGGAACAGAAGGAGGAAGTATTCCAGGAGCTGGGCCTCAAACACATAACCCTGGCCATTGCTGAGGGTCAGGGCATCCCTATGATTCTCCGGTATCCCAAAATTTGACATGGCTAAAATGGAGAATAATTATTATTACTTGTTAATCATTCACAGAGAATAAGAAACACTTTCTTTGTACCAAACATGATAACAACACATATTACGTTTAATTATGAAATTATTAATACTTTTGTATGTTTCTTATTCACTATAATATTTATTATTTTAATATTTTTCAATGACTTACCTTGAGAGATGATCTCCTCGTAAGTGTGGAAGGATTCACAAATGATGAAGCTCGTCTCTCCCTGGAACAGGATCTTTAGACAGCTCTTTGCGGCCATAGTTTCTTTTCTCTTTTTTTTAGTTTTTTTTTCTCAAGTGTAATCTTGATAGTGATTTACAATCCTAATCACAATCACAATTTCAATTGTCACTCTTTTATTCTTCTTGCAAATTTCTTGTTTTACTTTCTTTACCGCCTCTCTTTCTGTGCGATGTGATAACTTGGAATATTTGTGATCGAATGACGGCACTGCAACAGCCGGCACTCTGTTTTATACATTTTCATCTATTTTTGTGCGGTGTCCCTTTTTGTTGTTCCTTTTCGCCCTTTACCTTTACCTTTTTGGTGTGTCTGCCTGCAGCTGCAGTGGCTATTGTTGTTGCTTTTGAACTAGCCTAGGTAAAAAGGTCGGTCGACGGTAACGGGGGTTGTTGCTGTATGTGTGTGCCTGTGTGTGTGTGTTTAGCTCGTGCTCGCTTCAATGAGAACTGGGGGTCGGAGAGCAAGTGAAAGAGAGAGAGAGAGAGAGAGAGCCATCTCTCCCTATCCATTCCATATTGCCATTGTCTTGCTTTGTTTTTGTTATATGTAGGTTGGCCAAACGCGTTGCTGCATGTCGCGTGCGTGTGACGTCACGATCGCCAATTGGGGATGACACATAGCCACAAGTAAAAAATTTAATGGTGAAATTAGAGTGGGCTTACATTTTTTTTGTAGAATAAAAGTTGATAACGGTTTTTTAAGCCGCCGAGTAATTTTATAATTGATTTTGGCAAGAGCTTATATTTTTAAAATATTTTTTATTTTATATTATTATATATTATATATATTATATATTTAATTTTATTTATTATATTATTATTATATTTAATTTTTTTAACTCACTTAAAATTAAAAAATATATATATTACATTCTTTTTTTAAATTTTCTTCAATATTTAAATTTCTTTTATTATTATTCCATGACTATGCATATTATTATTATGAAAACAAAGAGTTGTATTTACATTTTTATTAATTAACTTATTTTTTAATTAATTTTTTTTTTTTAATTTATTAATTAATTTTAATTTTCTCCAATACAGCAAGAGGAGTACTCTGGGGCACCAGTGCAATGCTTAATACCCGGTACCAACCAGTGGGCCCTAATTGGGGTCTCCTCCTGGCGGATAGCCTGTGGACCCACTGGTGTGGAGCGGCCCAGGATGTATGATAAGATCGCCTCGAACGCCGCCTGGATTCGGGAGACCATCAATGCTGTTTAGTCCTCAATAACAACCTGCATTTGTACAGAATCGAACGGAATCGAATCGAACCGAACGTTACGGTATTATGTGTGTGTGTAGAATCGATACTATATACTATCCCGCTCTAATGTTAACCGAACCCCCCAACCTAACCCCAATCTAACCGTTAAGCTTGATATATATATATATATATTTTTTTTTTTGCTGTTTTGTGTAATATTTATTAACTATGTTGTAATTGTGTATGTTAAGCATGTCGAAAAGGAAGCCAATTTAGTTGCTAGTATTTACGTTTAGCTGTTTTGTAGTAAGATATTGTTGAATAAAATGAAATCGCCTAAAATGGAGCATAGATTCAGGTGGAGACATGCATGGACTCCCACTGCCCGTTGGCCTGGAGACGATACTGCACTCTGTCGGCGATTTCGTTGATGGCCACGTTGAGGAAGTCCCATCGCTGGGGCTCAAACTTGAAAGCAGTGCTGTGGGGGAGGTAATAAAGTTGCATATTATATAGAGATAATTAATCAATTAAAAGATATATGCACTTACTAGGTGTCTGGTCTTGGGATGGGCTTGCCACTGGCCAGGTGCTCCTGCAGGAACTGATCGTGCTTCGCCTTGAGTTCGTCATGATCAATGGGTTGGCCACAGGGGCATATGTGACCTCTGATCTTGGCCGCCAGGTCCTCCTTGGCCCACATGGCATCCAGCTCACTCTCTGGAAGTTCCACAGCGGTGGCTCCAATGAGTCTCACCTGCCAGTTACTTTCTCTGCCTTGCTTATCCTTGACATTTGTCCAGTAAAAGGTGATACCAGCCTTATTCGGATTGGCCTTGAGATTCTTACAATTTCGTGTATAACTATGAGTGATATAATACAAAAAGTTATCTTTGGTGAGTCCGCGATAGAGGACAGTGCGGTTAAGGACTCCAAACTCCTCGTCCACCGTGGCCAGATTCATTTCCGGCAAGTAACCAGCCGGTTTTCCTTCGGTAGCTGCCTGCAGAAGCTGCTTGAAGAACTCCACGGGGTTGGTGGGAAAGTTCTTGATTTTTGCCAATTTCGATGTCATTTTTGCTAAAGAAATAATATGAACAGTAATAAATTACTTAATTTCGTATTGAATAAGTACAGCAAAGTTCTCTTCTCAGTTCGATTTAATTTCTGTAACAGTCGCAAGTGCTTTTTAAAACAGGCGCCAATGTCTGCTGTTAACATTAACAGACACTGTAATGTAATGAAATGCATTAGCCAACACTATCAGCTGGTCGCCTTACCGACGAGTTTTCCAACACTATGCTAAATCTGGGCTAAAACGCGACGAAGGAGAAAAAAAACACAAACAGAACGCGAAAACGGGGAAAATCGGGAGCCTTGGCCGGCCAAAAGGAAAATCTCGCCGAGCAGGAGCACCATGACATCCATACTGGACATGAAGTCCGGCCCGCCCGACTACTGGGCGGAGATAAGCAACTTTTTCCTGCCGCTGAAATACCTGATCACCAACGAGCGATTCGACGCCCTCGTGCGGGACATAGACCTGTTTTACCTGATTAACGGTGTCTTCTGGATCTTCGTGGCGATGTCCTGCGGCTTCTGTGGCTTTCAAAGGCTTTTCCAGGTGAGTGTTACTTGGGTGAATCCTCCGGCTGTGGCTTTGCCGTGCGGCTTGTGCTTTTGCATTGAGGGGTCGCTCGGCCGATTTGGCGTTTATAAATAAACAGAGCGGCCACGGGGCCGGTCCCGGGAGGTGTGTACGGCTGCTCACAAGAAAAGCGTTTCTACAGAGAATGCTATTAAATACGCCAATTTTGTAACAAACAATAACAATACGTTAGATACCAATACATATGATACACGTACAGGTACGGGTACACAAACTAAATAGGTAAATTTTCAATTTGTTGTCTTAATTTGGAGGTAGTTTTTTCCTTTAGGTAAAGAATAATTATAAATAAAAAATATATAAAGCTATATGGTATATTTGTATACATATTAATAACCAGGCGAATCAATTTAATCAACTATTTTTCTTCGTAATTAATTTCTTTCCTATATAAATAATCATATAAAACGATATATAAATGGTTCTTTTAATTAAGAGCAATAATCACTTGAAAAATAAACTAAATGTCTAATTTTTTAATGTTTCTGCCTTTGTATAATTATACCTGGTATTAGAAAAAACGAACACAGATTTATATGCATTTATTGTTTGTTTATTTAAATAGGTAAAATAATAATTTACACAAATAACTAGTTCAGGTACAACTATTTAACTGCTTTTAGGTACAGATGCTAGTCCTTTTTCTCATCTCTCTTTTGGGAGTGGCACATGCGCCAAAGCTTGCAGCACCTTTCCTTCATCGGGGGGCACACTCCGCTCCTGGCGAACATTAGCGATAGCTAGACCGACGTACAGACGGAATAACCATAATACCATTATCGACAGCGCCTCAAGGCCACTGGCCGATTAACTGCGCTGTCCTAATCGTGCCTTCTCTGTTGCAGTTCTTCCTCAAGTCGTCGAATATGAAGTACTTTAAGCGAAAGCAGTTTGCCCGTGTCATCTGGAATATTGCATTCTATGGGGCCAGCTGCCTGTTTCTGCACTTCTACAACGAGTTCATCCTTCTGCCGCAATTGATGAAGAATCAAGGACGCTATTCGCTGTTTTATTCCTCGGAGAATGTCATCTTCTATCGCTCGAATCAGACGGAAAAGTTCCAGTTTTATTCGATCTTCATCATCACGTTCTACCTGCATGGGGCAATGCTGGACTTTAAGGAGGCCGATTTTCTGGAAGTGGGCTCCAAGGGGCTTTACCTGCTGTCACTCATCGCCATCGATGTTTACCGGCAAGTTTTGACATGTCCTCTGTAAGTTTAGGGGGTTGTATTTAATTAAAAATGTATTATTCACTTGCAGGTATGAAAACTACTTTGTTGGCTTGAATCTGACGGTTGGCCTGTACAGCATACTCACCGAGGTGCTGGCTCTTCTGGTCCTGCCCAGCTCCTATAGCCACCGGATTGTATATCAAGTGTTCCTGGGCCTACAGATCGCAGCCTGGGCGCATGTGTTTGTCAATCTGGTGCCATTCAAGTACCTAATACCCACGCTGTTTGCCAAGAACTTTAAGTTGCCCCTGAATGTTGCCATTTGGTTCTGGTATGGCATCTCGATCTGGAACTCACCGGTGTTGCAGTGCTTCTACCATCAGATATATCACACATCACCCTCGGATTGTTCCGGCGATGGGTCCGCAGCTAAGTAAGAATTATTTGGATGCTCGAAGTTGACCCTTTTGCTTACTTTATATTGTTTCCTTTGGCAGATGCATCATGGTCAAGGACTCGAGCGAATTCCGGCACTACAAGACCCTGAAGAAGGCCTATCTGGAGGTAAAGTTGGCCCACGAGAGGATCAATGCCCAATCGCTGTCAACCCATGAAACCAGTTCAGCCTCGGCCAAAACTTTCCAGGCTATTAAATGTGAGTTCCTTTACATTTCTTACAATTTTTGTCCTTATAAATATATATATGCTAGGCGTCATGATGCTAAAACGCAAATTGAAGCGTATTCGCGAGGGTCGCGGCCATGAGCCCGAGGACGACACCGAGGATATGACTACCACAGATGCCTAAATCGAATTGAGAAAGTTACATACACACCCAAGACACACATTTCCTTAGACAAAAAAAAACAACAAAAAAGACACAAAGATCCTGCTTAGGTTAAAAGAATCACAAAGATGAAACTACCTCCATCCCTGGCTATAAGAGTAGTGTATTCTCTCTCTCTATCTAATTCTCTCTGTCTCTCTCTTAATAGACATAATGCCGGTTAGAAGTTTATGCGTGCTTGGTTGTAAAAGAAAAAGACTACTATACAATTATTAGACCCAAAATCTTCAGCAATGTCTTCACGAATTATACGAGTGAGGCTTATCTCGATTAATCTCTTAGAACTATTTATTTTAAATGCCATAAAAGGCTCTGATAAAACGGTAGTGGGTTTTAAGCACTGAATATGTTAGAACAATTTTAGAATAATTAGGATTTTTAAGTCTTCAAAGTGCAACGTTTCCCAAAAACTTTAGCTTATTTATTTATTTATTTATACCAAATAGCTACGCATAAACCAAAGGCAGTATAAAGAATAAGATACTGTTACGCATCTTATTTCCTATATTGTCTTTAAACCCAATCCGGCGGCTACAAGCCCTAGCAAATTATATATATATTATAAAGAATCTGATTTTTTGGCGCCACATGTGCTTATCGCCAGCGGAGATTGCCTTGGCTCGTTTAAATATATAATATATAGTTACTATATCTCTTTTCTCTCTCTCCCTCGCGCACACACGTACACAGTTTGTCTCTCCTTTTTTTTAGATTTGTAAGTCGCCTTCAACTTATTGTTGTTGTTTATTCGCTGTGACTTGATGACATATTGAAATATTGTAATGTGGTTTATTTTTTTCGTTCTTTTTAATTGAAATATACTATATATGGGCTAAACGAGCGCAATTGAAATGTGTGTGTGTGTGTTGTTGTTGTTGTTTTTACTGGTTGGTTGGTTGTCTTAAATCGTCTTAAATTTAGTTCATCGTCTTCTCCTCTTGTTTGTGTTTTTTTTTTAGAAATATCATTTTATTTATTTCCTTGCTTTATTGATATTTGAAAAGAATTTTCTATTTGAATTTCCATTGTTTTTTCGTTTGTCAATCTTACTTATCTGCTCTTCGCAATCGTCCTCCTTTGATATCCTTGCAATCGTATTTTTGATATTCTAATTTAAATATTTGTTTGAAATTTTTAGTTCAACTAGAAAACTAAATAATAACATTCTTTTGAAATTCAAAATATAATCGAGAGTTTATCGAGAGGCATCGAGTTCAAAAACAATTAAGTTTCGATATTTTCTGAATCAAGAAATTTGTTTCGATATTATCTGAAATTAGTTTCGATAATCATGAAATGTTGACATATTTAAAAACAGTATTAAAAACTTAGTGAATCATGAAATAACTTATTGCACATTATTGGAACGTTATATAAATATTATTAAATATTAATACAGTATTGGTACAGTATTAGAAACTAAATTAGAACTAGGACAAAATTATTAATTTATTGTGAAACTTTTCTTGTTTGAAGGACGCAAGTTTTCTGCCAAATTTGATTATAATCCATTGCAAGGGTATTCGAGTTTCGGCCTGCCGATCTTATTTTTCCATTTTCATATGCTTTCCTCGCTTCGTTAACATAGTTTTCGCGGTATTTGGTATTGGTGTTCTTTTTTTTTTGGCATTTCCTTCATCGTTTCGCTTGCATTTGTGGTTTTAAAAATTCCTTTCACTAGAAGCTAAATTTATGTTTTATTTATAATTACTTTTCTCTTATCTGCTTGCGGTTTTTTTTTGTTTTACTTGAGTTTAGTTTAATTTTTAAACATTATTTGGTTTTGGGTTTGCCAATTCTTGTTATTTTTTTAAAGGTTTTTTGTTCTAGAAAATCTTGTGTTGCATTTTTTTGTTTGTGGTTTTACGTTGTTTCGTGACGAACAAATTTTTACGTGCCGCGAAATATATTTTATTTGATTTTTTATCATTTTTTAGTTTATTGGGAAGTGAATGAGAGGAGGTGAGGAGGGAGGAGGGATTGCCCTTTGGGCATTGAGCAAAAAAAATGTTTCTCTATGTTTTTGTTTGTTTTTTACAATTACTTTTGTTGACATTTGGTTTAGTTTTGCTTTGCTTAATCTTTTAAATCGTATAATTTTATATGTTCTGGTTTCCTTTTCCTTTTAATATTTCCTTCTTTTTATATTTATTTTATGTTCTTAAAAGTTAATTCAATTCGTTTTTGTTTCTGTTCGTCGCTTCTCAAATAATTTTTTACTAGTTTTTCTCATCCAACAATTTTGGTTCGCTGTGTATATTTGCTTATCAACGTTGTTGTGTTGCATCCTGCCTCGAATTTTGTTTAATTTTAAATTTAATATTAGTGTTAATTTTAATATTTATGTTACCATTAAATGTATGCTTTAAAATTAGTGTTAGTTGTTCATCATCATCCCCTTGAACGCTTCGCAAACGTTCTGTTAAAGGTACGTTCTAAAAAAAATGACTCCTCCGTGACCAGCTTTCTTCTTTAATTTATTATTTAAGTTTTCAGTTTTGTTTTTTACTTCTTTCTGCCCCGACCCAAATATCTGTATATATATATACTATATATATAGATATATATTTATATTTATATGTTTATGTAGAAACTGTTGGGAGCAACACACAAACTGGCAAACTGCATTCCGTTTCCTGTGGTTCGAGTTCAATTAAGGTGCCTTTTTTGTCTTATTTTTTGCAATATATTGTTAACATACATAGTTCCTTTTGCCCCACTTGGCAAATTTTTTAGTTTTTTGTATAAAATATTTCAACATTTTTACACCTATGGCTCAATATGCCTGTCCCTTAAGATTTTCATGTTCTTGTTCCAATTTCCATTTTATAAATACGACTTTAAATCAATTTGTTCATAACGCCTGTTTGGTTTTCCTAATTTGTTTTTATCTCTGTATTTTTTTTTTAATGACTAGTGATATATGTATATGTTGTGTTATGACACTCACTCACACTCACTCAAACACACGCACTCTGAAAAGTCCTTAGACGAGAGAAGAGCCTTGGTACATGTGGAACATCTTCTATGCGTCCAGTTTGGTGAAACCTTAGAGGTTCTTTTTTTTAAAGAAAGGGTATAATTTTGCTTGCGAAATTTTTAGGAAAATGTACAAACATTAAAAACTTATGAATAAAAATATGTTTATTGCCTTAAAGTGTGTCTTTTCAATGAACTAAAGAACTAAATTTAAACGAAACTTTTGAAAATTGTTAATAAACCTGCTTAAAAACGATATAAATCTGCAAGTGTTGACTCAAATCTCAGTAAATATTCACAAATTGACTTAAAAAATATCAATTAGAGAACAAAAACAAAGAAATATACAAGTTTTTAACAATTTTGGAATGGTTTTGAAATATTTATATTAAAATTACATCGCCAAAGATACCAAAAGTCAGGGAAACTATCAATTTTTGAGCTAATGAAAATAATAATTTCACTGTTTCAGGACATGGTAAAATCTGGCATCAAATAAGGATGCATCGTAGGTGTCCTGAAACAACATCGAAACCCCTTTCCTATCCCTATCCCTCGCATTCATTTCCAATTAATCAACTCAACAAAATACAATCATTTGCACTTGTCGCGCGAATTAAAACAGAGCCAAAAAGCGGCCAACTTTCCGAATGAAATCAAATTCAAATTAGCCAAAATGCTTTGCCCAATGAAGGTTGTGGGGGGTCCTTGTTAGTCCTTGCTAGTCCTTGGGTGTTTTTTGGTGTATGTGTGTATGTGTGTGTTGGGCGGGGAGGGCGTGGCTCGATAATGAGCCTGGTGAAAATGAGCAGCAACATCGGCCGTAGCAACAACAACAACAATTCAAATATAATGAATGAAATTATGTTGAAAACATATTTTTCCACCAAACAAGGAAAAAAAAACAAAAAAAAAAAAACACCGGCCAACAAAAACAAGTCTACAAACTTTGTCTTCTTGACCAGCGAGGAAAACGGAAAAGGGGGGTGAGGGAGGGGAGAGTATTTTCCTATTAGCAAGCAATAAATTCGTCGCTCTTATTGAGCCAAAAGTTGGGCGAAAACAGGAGCAGAAACATAGATAGGACATTAAACGATGTAGGAGTTGGGGTTTGGAAAATAAAACACAGCGAAAAGTGGGAAATGTGGGAAAGCGGAAAAGTGTGGCCCAGAGAGAACCTGCTGGAAAATGTCGCCCAAGGGTGTAAAGTTGGTTTTTGCTGCAAGCTTTTGGCTTCAAAAGTGGAAATGATTTTTGAAATGGGAATTAGTGTTGCTAGCAAAAACAACCTATTTAAAAATAATACAAGATAAAGTAGATAAATATTAGTAATCATTTTGAAAATGGGAATTAGTGTTGCCAGTAAAAACAACCTACTTAAAAATAGTACAAAAAATAAATATATAATTTAATTTAGGACCTTACAATTTCTGGGATTCCCCGCTTCACTGTACACATTCCTTTTTTGAAGCATACTTCCAGGATATAGTGTAAATTGATTTGAAATTTCTCATTTGGAATGCATAAATAAAGGTGTTGTGCTTAAAATATTATCTTAAATGTTCAAAATTTAAATATATAAAAATTATAGTATCAAAAAATTTTCCATTTAAAGTTTAAACATTAAAATTAATAATTAAAAATTGCAAGCCAAACAATTGATTAAACTTGTTAAAAACGGATAATTTTTAATAATCCTTTATTTGTATATCAGAATTTTACAACAATCGATTGGTATATCGAGTTTCACTTTAAATTTCAATACATTATCGATATACAAATATTTTATTATCGATTTTGCAAACCCTGTTCGCTTATATTTAATGATAAATGAAATAAAAACGGACATAACGGCAGCACTGTTTGCGAATGCCAGGAATAAGCGAATGCGAGTGAAAGAGATAGCAAAAAGGATAACAGGAGGAAGGACCCCAAAGAAGCAAACTGTTTCGACCGGGCCATAGCTTTATGATTGCTTTTGTATTGCCCGTTGTGATGTTGTTTTTTATTTTGGGAGAGAGAACGAGCACGTGACACAAACGGGAGCCGATAGATAAAAATGCCGATACGGTGGGAAATGGCCAATGACGGACATTTCCGGCTGAATCCATTGGATTCGGAATCGGAAAATGGCAAGCATTGGCTATTTTTTCGAGGCTCAAGAGTTGAACAATTAATGTTGAGCTGGTTTATGGATGACAATCGATAGTAAAGGTATGGGATCTTTATAAATAAAGTGTATAAATAAAAATAAAAATATAGATATTGTTTCGATATTTTTAAGATCCCAAGAAA